ACAATTAAATTTTTTTTAATAATTATAAGTTAATAAAATTAATCAAATCAAAGACACTTTCTTATATTATTTGTGTGACTCAACAAAAAGCCAATCAAATAGATTTTTACTTCATTTTTATGTTTACAATAAAAATGTAAATTCTGCAATAACCTCCTCTCACCAAAAATCACAGTTCTCAGAAGAAGAAGAAAAGAAAAACACAAAATCAAAGAATGATGAACCACTGTAAAAAGGATTCATGGCAGTCTCCTTGGTTACTCATGTAAATTACTCCTCATGATCTCGAAGAATGCTGCAGTCTTCGGAGCACCACCTGCCTGTAAAACCTCTTTGTCCGGAAGAACAGGAACACCGCCACCACACACCCGAAGGCGGCAACAGAAGCCATGATCAGAAAAGATATCATGAAGCATCCAGTGCCATAGCAGGAGTTGTCTTCTCCGGACGACTCCTTGTCGTAAAAATACCCAATAACTCTCACAGAAAATATGTAAGAACCAACTGGACTAGCTATTGCAATGGTGTTGAAAATAGTCCCGAAGTGTCGGACCCCGAATAGCTCCGAAGAAATAATTGGCATCAACGACCACTGCGAACCGTAGCATATACCAACCAAGACTGATCCAATGTACAAATTGCCCGGAAATCCAGAAGCAACAATTAAATGACCGATTGACATTGTTCCTAGAGTAATCGCCATGAAAATAGGCCTCGGCCAGCCTCTTTTATGAAGAAATACATCTGATACGTACCCTGCACTAAACCGGCCTAGGAAATTCCATATGCTCCATAAAGAGACCAGAGAGTTTACCTCAATGGTTGTGTATCTAAGTGATTCACCAATCTGACTGATGTTGTTTATGGTAGCTAGACCGGACCCCATCCCACAAACGCTAGCCACAAAGATTAACCAGAAATTCCAGGTACGCACTGCTTGAAACAAAGAAATATCTGAATCTTCAGACTTGTCTGAATTATCATCAAAATCCGGTATCTCATGGTATTCAGATGGATCTTCTAACTTAGAGGACACAATTACTGTACTTGTGTCGGTAGGAGATGATTCTTCTGATGATGACAACAACAATCTCTCGGAGAGCTCCTCCCTCTGGGCTCTAATTGCTATTCCTAAAGGGGATGCAAGTAAAAGAAGTAGAAGTATGAATGTGATGACCCGCACTGACAATGGCAAACTGAAGATGTTCTCTAGTAGTATAACGATCATGAGATATCCGGCAATGATTAGAGCAACAGCAGAGAAAGCATTGAGGTGCTTCTTGTCCTGATAAACCGAGTTGTTGTGTTCATAGATTCTTACCAGAGTCATAAGCAGGAGGGAGACCAGAGTGGGCGTTAGAGCAAGGATTAGAATGTAAGTGGATGGTTCACCGTCACATAATGTGTCATATACCTGAATCAATATTGCTCCACTCAAACCCACAAATCCCTGTCCAAGAAACATAGCAAAATATATGAAGCCAAGGATTTGAAGTTTTGAACTTTGTCTTTATTCTAAAATTAAAACTTTGAACATCAATGAAGTTCAATTCTACTAAACTTTATGTGCTCATTGCTCCAAATCTTGATAGAAGAAAAGAAATAATACATAACCAAAAAGACCTTTTTTTTGTGGGGGGAAGGAAGGGGGGGGGGGGTAAATTAAATAACTTTTCGTTTACAAAGTGGAAAGCAATAAAAAGATGCGATTCAAAAAGTATCTGGAAAAGTTCAATTAGAAAATTGAGAGCCCCAGGAATAAGTACAAAGCGACCATTCTTAGATAACATCCAAACCATATCTTCAATTACATTTTTCTTTTCATCTTCTATTCCTTAATACAACAAGCGGATTCAAGTTTCATAAGTCAAACCACATCATTAAAAATATAGTTTAAATTCTAAAATTATTAAATTATTAATAATAAAAAAAAATAAAAAATAATTTCATTAAAAATGTTTTAATAAAG